GAGCTGATGGAGGAATTTGAGAAAGTGATGGGCGTTGAAGGAGCTGTTTGTGGGTGTAAATGTATGGGAAAATGCAGAGATGGGCCAAACGTGAGAGTTTGTGGTTCATTAGACACTGTAAATCAGAGTCCTCTGTGCATTGGAGTTGGATTGGAGGATGTTGATAGAATTGTGGCTGACATTCTGGGACAACCCCACAAACATTCTACCTTTGCACCTGCGACTGCTACTTCATGATACTCATAAGTTGTTAATTTAGTGTAGTTTTGAGATGTAAAAAAAAAGAGAATTTTTTTATCGTTTTGGAAGCAGTTTAATCGGTTGGGTTGGGATAAGGAGGAGCCTTTTGGATCCAAACCAACTATTATGATTGTAAATTTTTTCAACAGTTAGATGATGAATTCAATTCCACTCAATCATGAGGGGATTGATTTAGGATATTCAGGTTATTTGTTTATAAATAATGAAGGTATTAATTTCTTGAGCATTCATTGGGAATTTTATACTATGGGTAATAGTTCATTGAGTACTCTACCTTGGGTCATTGACATCACCAACTCAGTTAGATATATTCATACTATGGGTAATAGTTCATTGAGTACTCTACCTTGGGTCATTGACATCACCAACTCAGTTAGATATATTCGATCTTGGTTGGCCTTTCATACGCGAAGACCTATTAGTACTCTTTTTAGCCTAATTATGACTAGATTGATCGATTCTAGGTCAAATAAAAAGAACTCAAAGATTATTGAACGGATTTATTTAGGATAATCATGTTTTTTTATTAGTACAACAAATTGAAAAGAATGAGTTTGAATCTCCAACCTCGGTTATTTGTTTGTAAATAAATTATGTTTGGACCTGGGACGGGTGCGGGTGATCCTAGGAAATAAGGGAGCATAGTTCCGACTCCCAATTATCAAAAAAATAATAAGAATAAATTACAATGAAAATATTAATTTCTCGAACATTCTATAGAAATTTATACTATGTGTAACTTCGAATATCCTTATCCAAGACTTTTTAAAAATTTTATTTTGGTAGTTATGCCAAAATCATTTTTCTAAAAGTTTCTTTTGAGTACAACTTATGAACCTATGAATTTATAATTTGCTTGGTTTAACTTGCAGATTCCAGTAGAACTGCCAAATCCTTACACAATTAAGTAGAACAGTTCATGAATCAACTCGTTGATCGGGGTTTCAAACACCCTTAATTTTTAACACAATGGAGATAGTAACATCCAAATTATATCTATACATATAATTAATGGTCACTTTAGGCTTTATACAATCAGCTGGGCAAAAACATATCTAAAGATTGATTTTTTCTATAAATCTCCAGTAAATAGTTGAATGATTTAGTGCCTAGGAAGTTTAAGTTTGGATTGGGTATCAGAACTTACAGTGTTGCAACGCTTTATGAAAGAGTCTAGAGTTTTTTGCTTTGAATTTGGACTGCTACTTGTACTTGTACTTGGCTGCTGCTTCACTGCCACTTCCAATGTATTCTCTTCCCCATCCAGCATCTACATTTCAACAGTTCAAACACAATGTTACCAATCAAAGCTACAGAATAAACTATTACAAAAAAACATGTTTTGCGCACTTGATTCTATTACGGATATTAAATTCTAAGTAGGTAGTTACCATAGTTTGAACCTATTCCTGTAAGTCTTTCACATTTTCATTGGCCTCGATGACTACTAAGTCAATCCACAGTGGTTCATATTATTTTGTTTTGATTCTAAACTTCCAAATATTATATTTTAGTATCTGAAATTTGCATAATGAAAACCAAATGCAGACATATTTCTGTTTATTTACCTAATCAATCGGGGGCAAATATTTGAAGTCACGTATGGTAGGTTAAGTGTCTGGTTTTCAAATGGATTTAAGTTCTTGATAAATTATTAATAAAAAATTAATGTTAAGAGCTAAAATAATTTTCTATATATAGCTAAAGGACAAAAACAGAACACTTGAAAAGAGACTAGAATAGGATATAAATATCAAAAAAAGATTATGGAGAGAACAATGAGTTACCTGTCCTAAATTTTCTAACTTGCTCTGAACAACATCCCTGTAAGAAAGCAAACAAATGGATTAATTACTTTGCTCAGTTATCATTCAACAATTGCTTAATGGAATGTACCATATAATGTCGTCGACTGTATCGTTCGCCAGTAGATAATGTATGTTAACGGAAGAAACCTAAAAGAACATCAAAACCGTGTCGAACTCAGTACCAGGAATCACCCAATGAGGATTATGTTGTTATAGGACTAGAAACCATGTAAATACCTGTCCAATTCTATGGGCACGATCTTCAGCTTGAATCAGATCACCTGGGGTCCAAGAAAGCTCGGCAAAAATAACCGTGCTTGCAGCGGTTAATGTTAGCCCGACACCTCCAGCTCTAATAGATAACTGTGGAAGCGTTTGATTGCCATTTTAGTTTCTGTTTAAGACCAATGTTCAAGAGTTATTGATGAAAAGCTTCCCAAGAGAGAAAAAGTACCACAGCTGCCTTGATAGAATCTTTCTGCTGAAAGTCTGAAACCAGAGCTTGCCGGGTTGCTGAGGGAGTACCGCCATCGATCCGAATGCAATTCACTTTCTTTTTCTGGGAATCAGCAGTTTATATAAGAAATACACTGATTAGAAGGCGCCTCAAACTTGATTCATAAACCAAAAGAGAGAAGCAATGTCTTACTTGAAAGAACTGGTGTATAGCATCAATCATGGGCTGGTGATGAGCAAAAACCAGAAACTTGCAACCTGCCTGTGAGAATTATTTTATAGTTCAATGAACATTATAGAGTAACATGTACACTTTTATAGTTGAAGCTGAATGAGAAAAATGAAAGAATACAATAGACCCAAAAAAGACCAACCAAGACGAAACATCAAAAAGACAGGTCTACTAAAACAGCAGCCCAAAAAAGAAACCAAACTGGAATCTAACCTACAAGAAATGGCACTGATTCAAAAGAAGAAGGCGTAGACATAGACGCTCAAAGTGAGACGTAAAATCTAGCAATGAATCAAATCTCCTCCCAAGACCTCTCCACCCCTAAAGATTGTATTAAATATTCATGTTGAAGTCAAAAACTTCAGAGGTAAAAAGAATAAAAAACTGAAAAGATGAATACAAACAAACAAGAGGAATTAAAAAAATGATTATATTTGCAAACTCGATGAGACGTCTATGAAATTAAGAAAATGCACACACAAGTATAACAATATTCAGTTAAACACGCATCAAACTATTCTACAATGTTCCTGATGTCCTAAAAACTCCGGAAACGAAATTATAGACATAATTGACCAATATAGTCATCCTAGTTATAAGTTCATGATGGACTTAAATACAAAATCTGCAGCAAAATTTCCACATGATATTTGATAATCACACTGGAAAAATAAGCAGGGTGAGAAATTGAAACTTCCATAGTTGGCAACACTACAGAAAAGAAAAAATACTTGAAATTCACGTAAATGCCAAAATTGATTTAACCGTCAAATAACAATCCCCAAACCCTGGCCCCATGCACCGGGGAAAACATGAGCAACTAGGTAGAACCAAAATCCAATTTAACATAATACATCCACATAACAAAAGTAAGGATATTTGGCAAGCTGATTCAGTACACAGTACACATTGGCTGTTTGGAAAGGGAACTAAGAAGAAGATACATTATATATGATGGGACAAGTACCTCAACCACAGTCTCTAGATAATTAAGAACTGCTGGAATCTTGGCTTCAGCAGAATCAGTGTATATCTGGTTCCATTACAACGTTGGAGACTTAAAATAAGAAAGGAGGAAGATGGTGGGAAAATTTTCAAAGTTACTTAATAAGGAATATCAAAATATCTCTATAAACCTCCATGCACCGAACTTAGTACTTAATATTCAAACTCGGGAATGATAGTTATCTTGTAAACACTTAACATGCAATAAAATGAACGACATTGACAGTTACCTTACTAATAAGATTTTTTTGTTGAAACTTCAGTGATTCTACCTCCTCTTTTGATCTGCAGGCCTTGACTTTCCCTTTAATAACCTCCAACTGGAAACACATGTATTAGTAGAATAGAACAGCATTGTATTTAAACACCCAACAAAAGGCTACTAGCAATAAGTTGCAACCCGAAGTTTGGGCTGAAGCATTAATGAAAATTTCTTCTTCAGAAATGTGTGATTCTGCTAAGTTGGGCTATTTGGTTGAAAAGGGAAAAAAAAGTAGTTTTCTAAGACAGGATTGAAGACGTTGATAAAGTTTGGGGTTCTTACAGTATTGTTTGTTAGTGTAAGAATGTAAAATATTAACCTGCTATTTGAGGGTATTTTATGTGTACTTTTCTTGAACAAATGTTTAAAATTTTTAAGTTGTGTTTAAAAAGAAATCTCTGTATTGCTTGTTGATTACTGTGCACTCATTTGTGCAGTTGATTATCTGTGTGTTTTCACTGTTTATAATGATGTTTGAAGGATCCCCTCAAGTTAAAGAACATTTTGAAAACAAATCAACCAAAAACAACATAAAAAAAATTCATCATCCAAATAGGTTTTCTATATTAAGAATGAAAAATTAGTTTAAAAAATTCACAACAGTAGCACCTATATCTTGACATTTCTTTGATTCTAGATACGCTAATCTTCTACAATGAGCTTGTAGACAGAGGATGCTTTATCTTCTTATTTCTCTACAGTTCCTTTTTACATTATTAAATCTCAAAGAACAATTATCAAACTCAATGGAAATTTTAAGTTACCTCACAAAATAAAGCCCTAATTTGCCTTATGTCCTTCTCAGCCAAATCAAGAAACACCTGAGAACGTGAAGGAAAGTATTACAGGGCCACTAACTTCTTCAAGTTCACATTCCCCCCTACACAAACCTCTTGAAACCAGAAAAAAATTGGGCAATGTACCTGTTGCCTACGCTTCAGAGGAAGCTCAGAAAGAACGTCCTTTTTAAGCCTGCGGATCATCAGTGTTGCTTTCATCAGATTGTGTAATTCTTCATGGTTACTTGCACCTTGATATAATCCAAAAGTTCCCTGAAGGTGACGAGATATTTTGCGGTGATTCAAAAAAAAAAAAGCACAACTATTACATAACAAGCTTTTGTTGAAAGAAAAGTCACTGTTTCTTACCCCCTTGCAATATCTGTTGCCATACTCATGAACATTTTTATATACATTTGGATATAAAGCTTCCAGCTGCAGAATTCAAGCAAATTCAACATAATTTAATGACATAAAACCAAACACTTAGACATGGACATAGCATTAAGCCAGAAGAACATATGAACTCTACCTGCTTGAGGAGTTCAATCGGTCGAGACAATGCTGGAGTTCCACTGAGCAAAATGGCATACTGAGCTTTCTGAAAAAAAATATTTTAACTAGTGTAGGGTTATAAAGGAAAAGGAATGCTTCTGCATAGAACCCATGAGCACTGCAGCACACAAGAGTGAGAACTAGAGAAACAAAGATCTTATGTAGCTGTACCAACTTATTCTGCTGTACAAAGACCCTAGTTTCTGGAAGAGTGCAAAAACCCGAATATCCTTGTTAGTTCCATCCTATTTCCACTGCCAGTAACATAGGCCCTCAACTTACTAAGCAAATATGCTTTCCATACGGGAAAAAGCAGAGCAACTACTTTTATTGATTTTCATCTGATAGGTTACAGCTCTAAAAATGATTTCATACTTTCTGTTCATAGTAAATCCGGATGCCCTTGCCAAATACCAATGGATAACTATTGTTTATCTTTTCATGGAAACCTTTAAGAACACCTTAAAGTATTTAGATAGCAAACAAGATTTGTACAACTACATTCTAATAATGCCCATATCCATATAACCTACAAACTTAATTAGCTTCTATATACAAAATTAATTCAATATTTCATACCAAATAATAAGTTATTTTTCATTAATTTAAAAAACTACCCCAGTTTACTAAATAAGTCAAAAACAGCCTGTTTTTTACTCTTTCTGAACAGTACACAAAAAAATAATAATAATAACAAATCAAACGAAACTTTGCCAAGATAAATCCCAGGATTGAGTAAACTGCACTAGAAAAGCAAGATAACCTGTATAACGGGCACACAAGCAACCGTCCTCTTTGCTTGAGCATTTTTCATGAAGTGGGACTCATCTGCAATTACAACCTGACAAATAACTAGACCAGTGTTAGGAGCATGAACATTCGGGGTAGAGAATGAACAGACCTGTTGAAATATTACTGACAAAAGTCAAAGACTAGGTTGATATCTCAGTTACATTGATATGTAATCATTTCAATAACTCATTTCTTTCGAGAATACATAAGATGTAAAGTGACAATGTACAGTTGTATGAAGTAAATTGTTTATTGTTGAGTAGAGACAAAAATATCCAAAAGTAACAACTTCCAAAACCATGCTACTGCAAATAAAACGGAGTTCATAATATTATAATCATCATTCTTATAAAAAGAATAATAAGAATAATATTACAATCAACAAATCAAGGATCTTGCCTGACACACAATGAAAACATTATGACGGAGCCCAAAAAAGTAAAACATACAAAATAAAAGGACAAAGCAAGAGAAAACAGAAGATGTCCACAGGCGTTTTTTTTTTTTTTTTTGAAGAAATGATTACCTTGCTTAATGAAATGATATTAGAACGAATGTCATGGATTACATGATGTCACAGGTACCTTAAACTGCGATACCATTAGAATATTCTGTAACTTCGGGACCACGTCATAGGAGATGATGTTGAAAAGGCCATCAAGATGTAGGGTACTTTTGGAGCTTGAGGATAGTATAGTGAATCCACCCTTATTTGACCCACAATTTTGGGACAAAACCACCTGATAGGAGAATTAGTCAAAATATAAACTTTTCTAGTTGCAACTTAAGCATCCTTTTTAAAACCCCATCGCCACACCAGAAATCTTGTATAAGAAAACAAATATCAGTTCAACAGTTGATTAAAAATAAAAATAAAAATAAAAAAAGAAGGCAATTACAGAAACACGGGTGTGGTGAATACATGTATATCTGATGAAGGAATTTGTAGCCATTGCTGGATCATCTGGAACAAAGCCGAAGAGAATGTAACATGCAAGCAAAAATAATCTCATTAAAATACAGGAGTTGACAAAATATTTACAGCAGCCCAGTGCAAGCGTAAGGAAGATGGTGCGAGTATAAGAACAGGCCATGATTCACGGATACATGCAGCCACGGCAATAGCCTGTAGAGAGTATGAGCAAACTAATGATTTCAAGATAAAGAAATGTAGTAGAGTTGCAAGTCAAAGTTGTAAAAGCATGGAATTTATGATAGCAGAATCCACGTGGGGATTAAAAAATAATCGAAGTCAAAATAAAGAACGCCTGAACCATAAAACCTGTATCATGGGCTCGTATGATGGCTTATCACGGGAAATAAAGCCCTTAGAACTCAATCAAATGATGCCTTCATCAGAATTTAGAACACCGGTGATTTCTTGTCAACTAATTTTGGCATTCCAATCTAAACTGAAATTGCCAAAATACAAATTTACTTGCCTCTGAAAAAGTAGCAGATGTGTTTTATTTATTATTTAATGAATTGTTATTCTAAGAAATAGTTTTCTTTTGTTGTTTTTTTGATAATAAACAAATATGTATTTACTATTTACCAAAAATAAACCAATGAGAATAGATGATTAGTATTCATACGCTCCTTAATCCAGTAAGTTGAAAGGAATCTACTGATCATCCAGAGTCAATATCATTTCTCCTAAAGTCTTATGGTGATGAGACTGATAAACCTTTTAAATCTTGTTAATGACTTTTATTATGAAGAGTGAAAGTACTGCAGTGGGTAAAATCTCATAAGTTCAAGTTTGAGCTTGATACCCACCAAATACAATAGACCCCTTCTAAGAGTCTAAGTACTGAAGACATGGCGAAAAAGAACTCAAGTGAAGATTTTGGAAAACAAAACCTCTGATTTTGATAAGTTGTACATGACTTGTTAAAACAATCAATTACATCGTCCCCCACCTCATGCTCTGTATTTAGGACTTAGCCTTCATTATGGATTAAGGAGATAAAGTTTTTTATATTCCTCGACGACATCCAACAATGAAAATTTAGAATCCTGACATCTCCCTCCTTCACTAATTGGTCCTACATTCTCTAGACCACATTCTTCATTACTCTAAAATACACAATCAATTTGGTTTTACAAGCTTGTTTTTTCTCCTATGGAAAACAATACTTTCATTGAGAATAATGAAAAAAGATACACGAGCTACAAAAAAGCCTACAAAAGGGCATCCAAAAAAACAGTCCTGAAACAGGAGGTCCCCTACAGAAAAGGACTCCAATCCAAAAGAATAAGGCCTAGCGGATAATTACAAAAGGGCTTCATCTTCTAGAAACAAAGTGACCAACTAATCCTTTTTTCTCCTTGGTGATGTTCCTAGAGAGTCGAGACCTCTATATTCCACATAATTACCAAAGGTTTAAGTCTTTTAAGCTTTTCCATGAAAACATAACCAACCCACCTGAAAATTTGAAAGTTATCTCACCCCATATCAAGACCAATATTATCCTAAAATAAAAAGGCTGCTCAAGCCACAAGTTTTCAAATCTAGAAGGCATGAGTCATTCCCATTTTATACAACCAACGTTGAGCACAAAAGAAAATTGGTGAGAGGTGTTCCTTAGAAGCTTATCAATCCTAGCTTCCTTTGAAAAAATCTAACCAGCTAGAAGACCAACTCTTATTAGTCATAGCACAAGGACACTCTAACAAAAATACTGCAAACTATTATCAAATTCAAATCAGACCATCAGTAGCATGAAATACAACACGATTTTTAGCAAGATAAACACATGATAAATTCATTACTAAGGTGCTACCTACAAGAAATTAATTAATTTTATGACAATAAATTTTTCAAAGATTCAGACGGGCAGTGTAATGCAACATCCCCATATGATGACTACAACCTGAATGAACACCTTAGCACATGGTGCTAGTAACTGAACCAACACCATCAACAAGATAGATCATCATACCAAATTTCTAGATAAAGGCTACCCTAGTAGCATTGTTTAAGAATTATGGGTTGGCCCAGTTGTCAAAGGGCAAATAGTAATATAGTTACATTTGAAGTGAAGTCACGACTCACGAGTTCAAATTGTGTTGACTATCTACCTAGGTGTTAAGAATCCTATTATGCCATAGTATTGGTGAAGGTACATAGTCCAATGCAAAACCCATCCATGACATAAAAAATAGTAGCATTCTTTTCCATGGGATACTAATTTATTATAGAAAAACTAAATATGAGACCATAAATAAGTTCAAACGTAACATAACAATTACAATGTTCGGTTCAAGAATCATTTGCCTGCAAAGTCTTCCCTAGCCCCATTTCATCTGCTAAAAGAGCACGACCTCCATGCTGTAAAATAAACCTGAAAATAACAATTTGCAAAGATGATAGGAAAATCGCGCATAACAAATTAAAAACTTCAACATATAATAACATAACACACTGGCAACTGACAGAGCTCTCAAACACTTCATACCTAACACCTTCCCGCTGAAATGGCAACAGCTTTGATTCAATATCTACAGGTAACCTGATATATTTGTCTTGTGAAAAAATTATGGAAAACATCAAAAGATTTAGAAATATATATATACTGATACACGCACCCCACCCTCTCCCCAAAAAAAATATAACAAAAGAGAATTTGTGGAAGGAATGGATGACCAGAAACGTATAGTACAAAAACATTCTCAGGCTAAGTAATATGAGAGAGAGAGAGAGAGAAGCGACCAGAAACTGCAGTGTTAAAATTCCAAACATAGGACTAAGACCTATGAATTGGGTACTCCAGGAGGAATCAAAAGAAAGTGTTAGTATCATCTAACTCTTTGATCAACGTTGCCTTCCAAGATATACAAATTTAAACCAGAAGCTTGATTTAAACATCGTAATTTATTTACAACATGTCCAAGTTCCAAAGATGCCATGACAACAGGTCTTCTCCAGATTAAAACTTAAAATACAAGTTACCACAAACAATGTAATTTTTTTTTTACCACAATCCACATACAATGTAATTTTTTATTTTTTTATATGAAATCAACTTTCATTGAGAAAAACAAAAAGAAGAGTACAGTGTAATTTTTTTTTAGCACATACAATGTAATTAATACTGAGGTGGTAAAAGATGCCAGAAAAGTTAAATAGCTTACAAATAAGCAACGTACAATTTTTACCATAATCACCGAATTTCTAACCAATAACCACACTCAATATCTACCTCGCAAATCAGGAAGCAGAGAAGCTGCGAAGATAGCACGCTGCACCAAGTTATCCAAGCTCTCTACCTGTGATAAAACAAAAAGTAGATTAGTAGGATATATCTTATGCCACAACTGGCACTTCTCCTAAATATTATTTTGTATCAATTGATTGCAGCAAAGACTCGTGAACTAAAGTAATGAGGGACAAGTGACCACCTCGACTTTAAAACTGACTACATCACGAAGAACATTTTCTGCCGCTGACATGCTAGATATTGGAAACATCCATAATCTGCAGGTTTAAAAGTTTAAGGAATACAAATGGTACAAACAAGTACAGCCATGCTGAGAGAGAGAAGAAGTGAGTGGAGAAGACCTTTCTTTTGCATTCCAAGTGGCTTTGGGGATCTTTCGAAAAGCTTCTACCAGTACCTAGAAAATATAAATGATAATATACAATTAAATGAGGTTGAGATCAGCAGTGGCTGTGGCTGTGGCTGGAAAACAATTTTTAGCAAGCAGCTAAAAAATGCACCTGATCATATGAAAATTTTGCAGCAACGTTCCCGCTGCTGTGAAGGAAAAATTTGACAGAAACCTTGGGTAGTTCCTTTGCACCTACATCACCTTACACAAATAGCCAGAAAATAAGTAGATATGAAATAACTTTTAGCCGCATATTGTTTTGTTGGACCAATATAAGGGGAATTTTTTATACATGAGATATGAGTTTTTTTTTCCTTTTCTTTTTCGGGAAGAAAAACCAGCTTCCATCTCATGAAAGTACAGAAACGGGGCTATCAAAAATAATCTATATAGATGGAGCCGAACAAAAACTAAATACAAAATAATTACATTAGGAGGCTCCGATCTTCCGAGTTCCAGGATCAAGGATAATGGATAACTAGAAAAATTCATTCGAAGACCAAAAAAGGGGTATCAAAGTGAGCCACAACCCAAAGTGAGTTGATAGACAAAGTACAACAGTTCAAATTTATGCTGGGATATGATCATTTCCTACGTGGTACCAAAATTTTACTCCAATAATTCAAAGGAAGCGAATTTACAGAACATGAACTTCTTCCGAGTGAGACCTACCCTCTGAACTAACTCGATATAAGAGTGAAGATGATAAACAACACATTTAAATAGACGATAATATTAAAGAGGAGACAAAAGTACGAAGCTTAAAAAATAAAATCTTACCGACATGTTCTTTTGAGGCGACTGATGAAGGTAATACTCGCGCCAATGGAGATGTAGTGTCCACCTATATATTAACAAATGATAGAAGATTAGGAAGCTTATAACAATATATAACACAAAGAACGACATGAACTCGAACTCAAACACGTGCTACAATCTCACAAATGGAGCCCTAAAAGTACAATAACACATTCCAAAAACCATAATCAGAGCAGGAATTTAGGATAAACCCCGAATGGACGTGAACCCAATTTAGGATTCAGTTGGGAAGATTGAAATGCAGGGTCGTGGGCTTTTGGGTTGCTGATTTTGGCCTCATTGCTGCTACAATTAAGGTGGGTGTTGGAAGTAAATGACTGGTGGGGGTGTTGATTCGAAGCAGAGCAAGGAACCAAGACATTGAACGAAGAGGAAGAAGAAGAAGCAGAATTTTGAAGTTGAGCGATCTTCTGGACAGCGTCTCTCTCGAGGGAATCGAGTTCTTCGGGAGTCAAGTTCCAGTCATCGTCTTCCGCTGCAAATTCCATTGCTTGGAGAAAGGCGCGAACCCCCTTTCTCCCTCGCTGCTAATGAAACGAATGGTTTCGAGCATGCAATTTTTTGAAATGAACTTCGGGTCGTTTGTTTCCATTTACCGATTTTTTTTCCCCCGAGTTTCCATTTCCTTTTCATTTTCCCGGGTTTCCATTTCCAACTGTATAGAGTAGAGCAGGCTCTTCACGGACTGGGTTGATCGGATTGGGGTGTTTTTGGGAATCGTCGGGTCGTAAAACGATAGTCAACTTGACCCAATCCAAAAATTTGGGTTGGCTTGCCGGGTTTTTTTTTTTTTAATTAATTTACTTTTGTTTTGTTTATAACATTGACCATAAAATATAGAAAAATCAAAATCTTAATTTAAGCACAAATTCAATCCTAATTGAAACCAACGTGTAAATCCTAATTGAAACCAACGTGTAAGTCCTAATTTAATACAAATTTTAAAATTTTACATTATCCAAAGTTTATCTAAAGTCCAAATCCAAATTGAAACCAACATGTAAGCTCTAATTCAACAATATTAAAAAAACTTACACCTTATTATAGAAAAAGATGAAGGGGAGGAAGATGAAATTCAAAATGTTAGAAAAGAAAGAATTAAATATTAAAAATTGGGAGGATTGAATTGAAACCTATAATCAATGGTTGAGATTTAATGAAATCGATAGATGAGATTGAATATAAAAAATAAGATTTTAATTAATAATTATTAATGTATTATATATATGTAATATTAGATTATTAGTATTAAAAAAAAACTATAATATCGGGTCGGGTCGGGTTGACCCGGTATTTTCAAGGGTCAACCCGAGATCCGACCCAACCCGGTCGGGTTGGGATTTTTCCAACCCAACCCGGGTACCCTTAGAGTGGAGTCATTTTTTGGCTCGTTCAATGATATTTTCGTTTATTTTTTTCTACCATTTTTATCTATCTTTTTTTTTACATACCATTTTTATCTTTTCATGTTTGATAATTCATTATATTTTTAAATTTTAAGAAACGTTCAAAAAATAAAAGTAAAATTTTTTAAACTACAAAAAGTAGTTTCAGCAACGGTTTTACCTATATACTCAATGTTTTGTACATGTGTAGGCATATATTTTATTACCCATTCCACTTTTTAGGTTCTATCGTCCTACTATATGCAAAACACTAATTTGAATGAATTAATATTATAAATTATATTTTTTTAAGAAATTATATTATTTATGTATATGTTATATTTATTAAATTTTATTTTAATTAAAGAAGTAAGTCCACAAGATTTAAGAGACAAATATCTCATTAAGGGGTGGGTTTGAATCCCCACACTCGTTGTTTTTAACAAAGTTAAAATATAAACAAGAAAAAATAAATAATTATCCAATATTTTTTTGTTTTTTTAAGAAACAATAAACAACTCGTTTCTATTTTTTTTTTCAATAAACATAAATTGTAACCAAACGCATTGCGAAAAATGTAAATAAAAAACAAAAAAACGTTACAAACATGGTCTTTAATTCCCAATGTTTGTTTCCATTTACTGACTTTTTTCCCTCGAGTTTCAATTTCCCACTTTTTCCCTGAGTTTCCATTTTAAATTGTATAGATTAGAGTCGGAGCCGAGCAATTTTATACATATATTGCGAGTGGTAAACAACAAACCAAACCCAACTTCATAATTAAACTAATTAAAGCAATTATCTCCTATCAAAATGTTGTGATTTTGAATTATCACTTTCTTATCTGTACTAAAAAAAATAATACATATAGTATCTTACTTTAAAATACATGTTCGAGCCTCAATTTGATTATGACGAGAAATAACTATCGACATATTGAAAACTATTGGCACATAAAACAAAATGTCACTTATGTGATGATCACCTCCTTTAAGAATTAGTAATTCTCATGTGTTTATCAGCACCAAATGTTGTAGGATCATGTGGTTGCTCAATGAGATTAGTCGAGGTGTGTGTAAGCTGGACCGGACACTCACAGATATAAAAAAAGTGTCATTTATGTGGACATATATTCGAATGACTTCTATATAAGGCAGAAACTCACATTCTCAATACTACTGTATACCATCGCCTTTAATTAAGTTAAGTGAGACACCAAATCGAACTGAGTACTAATTTATATTTCAAATGGTTCGGGCAAAAGAATAGCATATATTTTTTTTTAATACACCAAATACATATGAGAGATTTGAACTCATGATCTTTTAATCAAAGACATTTGTCAATTACCATTGAAGTAAGTTGGTGATTCAATAATAACATATTTGATAATAAAATAAACATGGTTTGACAATTATAATAATCTAAATAAAACCCAATGAAATATAAGCATGCTTGGAAAACCCACTTTTATGCTCCATTAACAAAAAAAAAAAGTTGGCTAAAAAAAAAAGTTTGTGGCATTTAAAAAAAATACACTTTAAATCTTAAGTTCATGTTGTAGAAGTTTCTCGATTTTTTTTTAAGAAAGAATAATAAGTTTCTCTCTCTCTCTCTCTCTCTCTTATTTAGCTGATAGACTGACAACAAGTTATTTACTATTTAATTTCGTTTGTCACAGATAGATATAGATATTTTTAAAATTGTAATAAATTATTTAAAAAATATAATTGCATGGGAAGAAAATTTACTATACATTTTAAGTTTCATTATTTTTATTTCTAAAAAAAAGTTTAATTATTTTTGTGTGTGTCGGTATAAATGTATATAAATATTTTAGTAATGTTATAATTTAGATAAATTAGTTATATATTGATTTGTTTTTTCAGTAGTATATTAAACAAATTAATGTCATTTGGTACATTATATTTTAGCAATTAATATTACTTATTATAAATATCACACATGGATTTATATCAACAATCTATCATCTTTTCTTTTTTACTAATAAAATCTATCACTTTTTTTATGGGCATGAATTAAATGGTTAAATCTCTTTTATGTATTGTTTAAGTCAATAATAATAAAATAATATTTGTATTTATATTTTGAATAAATGAGAAAGGAGAAGATAGATACAAAATTTTATTTTATTATTCTAAAATATATACATAATTTTATTAGCAGAAAATGAAGAAATATGAATAATAAAATGCTTCTATCTACATATATACTGTGCATATAAAAGACAACATAAAGAAATTTTAATCTTCTAATTTTGTCCTTTAATTTTAATTATTTTGTCTATTAGCCAGAGAGTAATTTTCTCGCTCATATATCTATTTTTTTAAATATCCTCAAACTCCACCGATTCTATATCCCGCTCATAGCGACACTATCTCTCTTTCTCAAAATTCTCTCGAATCTCACCAATTCTATCTCCCCATCCCTCCCCATGTCACCATCTTAATTTCTATTTATTTTATCTTCAACCTATAAATTCAACTTTTCTCAATGATGTTCGGTATCTCAGATGCACAATTTATCTCTTATAATCTTTTAGTTACTTTCTTTATCATTCCCTCTTAGACTATTTTTTCCTCCACCCAATTAGTACTTTTTCTTTATTCATTTAAGTTTATTTGGAATCTGTAAAGGTGAAAAAGTAATATTTAGAAACAAAGAGAGAAAATTAGAAAGGTGAAAAATTGAAAGAGATAAATGTGTAAAGATTAAGAGACAATATTTAAAAAAATAGATAAAATTAGAGGAATTGAGAGAGTGATTTGTTTATGAATGAAAAAATTATCAAGATATTTAATAATAATAAAATGATAAATTCCACGTGAACTGCTAATTTTGATAGTAAAATAAAATTAAAAAAACTACTGACAC